ATAACGGTGCTGAGCGGATCATTTCCTTTCCCTGTACGGTAAACAATGCGTCGAACATGCGCTTTGCTTACTCGGTGTTCCAACCAAACGTGAGCTAAATTGCGAAGGCACCGGGGTTCGAAGGTGACTAGCCTCTGCTGAGCTAAAGGGCCAGTTCAACAACCGTACAGTAGGGTCGAACGTACCGCTACAATGTACACTGTAACCTTCAAGGCGAGAATGATGTAGCGCTGCCGCCATAAGTGGCGAACGTTAAGAAAGCTCCTCAGGTTTTTGCTATACGGTTCGTGATCTCATCTTCAATCCCACGGACATTGATACAACTTCCTAGGTAGTTAAACTTTTGAAAGACTTCTAGCTGATCCCCACCAAGCGTCAGCGCAGGAGGCGGTCCAGGCCAAGTTTGGAAGCATCTTTTGAACTTCGAGGGTACGAAGCAAAGCCCGAAGTGACGGACAGCCAATGATAATCTGTCCAGTGCCGCTTGGCACGTCTGGGAGCTGTCGTGGATGAGGGCAATATCGTCAACTTGCTACAAGTAAAGAATTCGTTCTACTGGAGCAGATGTACAACTCCTAACTCATGTCCTCTGAACTCGATTTCCATGACTTAGTCATTAACGAAGTTGTAAAGGAAACTTGACAACGGGCATCCTTGTCTCCCACCGCTGGAGATATTGAATTGCGATGATAGTTTGCTCTAATCACTCATCCTGCCCGAGGTACGCGTTTATGGTGTTTGGAATGTATTTACATAATTCTCGAGTAAACCTTTCCTGACTGGACAATCGCTAAGCGCACATCCATCAACCAAAACGAATGCATATTTTATGTCGTGGAACACGATAACGGTGGGCCGCCAATATATGTGATGGTGCTGCAACAGCTGAAGCAAAGTGAGGATTTGGTCTACACAGTCACGACATCGATGAAATCCGGTTTGATCTTCACGAACGAGATTTCAAGAGTGCCAGGCACACTGCGAACGTGGTCAGAGGCAGCAATTTGGAGGCGATGGAGATCAGGCTGTTTCCTGTATTAAGGGACGTTCGTTGCTGCCCAATTCCAAACCAGATATTCATCCGCATGCCCAGAAAATCATTATACTGCAGATTCAACCTGTAAGGCATCGTCAGAAGTGCGCAGCCTTCGGACTCCTCAGGATTCGAAACCATTGCCTCCAGTGACTTGAACCGCCAGTCAGAAGCTAATGTTACTACTCCTCAGGTGCAGCTTCGGAACGTCATTATTTACAAGCTAACTGATATATGGCGTTGTCTAGTTCTTTTTCTTGCCTGTTGACGACCATCTGATTTGGAAATTGGCTGCGATGCCCTTCCCTTATTTATGTCAAACTCCGCAACTCGTGGGTACATCAAAATTTATCCGCCCCGACAGATTCTAAATGCTATGTTGTAAATAGCTACTGTTAGTGGACGTCGTGTCTTTCGGGACAAACCCTGTCCTCTGCGACGTTCGTAACTTGCTTGACAATAGAGGATAAGACGCGCTATATCACAGTTAGCTCGTAAATCATGAAGGTCTGAAGCTGTCCCCCGTGACCCAGTGCCATAAGCTGCTGACAGGCGGTTCAAGCCGCTGGTGGACATAAGTCCGAATCTTGATGGGCCCGAAAGATGCGCACTACTAAGGATGTCATACACGCTGAGACTGCAGCCTAGTGATTTTCCGGGATTGTGGACAACTATATGATTAGGAAACTGACTGCCATGAA